GTAAAAAAAAAAAAAAAAATTAATTCGTGTTGCAAACTATAAAAAATGGTGACACATGAAAATACCATTTGTGGATCGAAGATCATGTATTTTACCTGAAACTAATAGCGAAGAAAAGGCATATACAGTTGTTGGAATAAGATAAAACAACCATACTGTATTAGAAGGAGTCGATTTACAAAAAAATTCACCCGGTATAACGCCCCAATTTTTTTCCTTTCTATTTTCCCTAAAACCAACTATATTTACACATATTGTTGTGACCCAAATTACACCGCTAAAATACCAAAAATAATTTTGTTCTATAGAATAATTAGAACGTGCTACCGCGAACCATAAATATATACATAAAGCTCCCGGAAATAATTTTAAAGGACAATAAATTAATAATATAATTTTATTTTGAATTATACACAAAGGAGTGTCGAGAGCTTTATCTTTCATACTATCTCCGTATATTATTACGGTAAGTAAACTCGATAAACCCAAGACAAATAAGCATATGCATAGTTGAAATAAAGTCCACTTCGAAATAAAAGATCCGGTCTTTAAAATGAGAAAAACGAGAATAGATAATAAAATTAGGCTTATCAAGTGTGTAGTAATATAAAGAACGACCAAGGGTGAATATTCAGGCATAACTCAACAAAAAAAAAAATATATATATATATAATATTAGAAATAAATAAAGAAAGTAAGAAAGAAAAAATTCAATAAATATATATGTATGTAATTTTTTTTTTTTTTTTTTTTATCTAAATTTTTGCTAATTTACAGATTTACTTTTTTTCTTTTTACAAATTTACGATGTTTGTTTTTTTGTTTATCATCATTATTATTAATCTTCAAGTATTGAATTCCTAGTTGAAACCGTTGCAAAATTTGATTCAAATATTGATTCGGTTCCAGAAATTTCTTGTTTAATTCCAGAACTATCTTGTTTAATTATTACATCTAATTCAATAGAATCATTTATACGAGATCTTATTGAAGAATTTTCATATTGTTGACTTATCATTGATCTTTGTCTTTTACGTTCACTTGGAGGAATATAATAACAACATGGAAGAAAGATTGCTGCTGATTTTGTTGTTCCAAAAATCATAAAGAGCATTGTACCACTAAAAAAAAAAGAAATATATATATATAAATGAATTTATGAAATATATATATAAAAGGAATTTAATTAATCATACGTACAAAAATGCAGGGGCAAAATCAAGAAATGTAATGGTTTGATTGTTGGCTGTCATATCATTATCAATTTTCTCAGTAACTGAAGGTATCAATGAAGCTAAAAGTAAAATCGAATAAAAACCACTTAAAACGGTTAATCTGACAGCATAACCAAGATCTATCGCTGTTCGCCGATTCTGTTTTTGATTAAAATTACGCCATCGACCCCATAGAATATAACTAGAATGTGCTGTGTTTTTTTTGGTAAAAAAAAAAAAAAAAAA